AAAAGTTTCTCAGTACATAGTAAACTTTAAATTAACTTGGTATGAAAATAGAGTGTAGCCTACTCTTTTAGCAAGTAGCCATGTCCCAGCCAAACACAATCTGCCAACTGTTCAAACCAAGTTCACATAAGATCAGAGTAAGCTATAATCAACTGGGTTGTCTCAATAACTGATTTCCATTTTTGCACATCATTTTCTCTAGATATGAGCGCCACCTGCTCATGTGGTGGTTCGGTATATTATGGACCATTTTTGTTTCAGACTGCTGTATAATTTAGAATTGCAAATAAGGTCAATTAAGATTTACAAAATTAGATTTGTTTAGATTTGTCTTTTGGCATATATATTTGAGGATCATTGTCCTCAAATCATGCATCAAAATAGGTTTGTTGATTTTCTCTTTGCAGGTAAGTCTAGAAGAAGATATGAGTTGGCCAGAAAGAGACTCGGATCTTTCTCTTTTTGTGCAATAGTACCACATTCTTGAGGAACCTTAGCCCAAGGACAAGGACACCTCAGAAAGCAGAAACTGCTATCACAGCAAAGAAGGAAGGACTTTTACAAGAGCCAAGACAGCCACCAGTGCAATTCTAAAGATAAACCTTCAAGGACGACTGACTCACCACTGTTAGAGCTCATGCAACTTTTAAAAAGACTTGCCAGGATTATGTTGGAAGACTTCTGAAATAGAGCGACCACTGTTTCATTAAGCAGGTCTTTGTTCTTTCCAAGCCAACCACTGATGTTATAAGGTACCTTTGGAAAGACATATATTTCAGGAAGCAAAAGGGGGGGGGAGTACAAATTAGTGTAAAAAGTGAGCATTACATGAAAAAAATCATAAATTGTGTGACTCAGTTTTAAATTATTGTAACAATACTAAATAACATGCCATTGTGCAGTCCAATGAAATTTTCACATTTTACACTAAAGGGAAAGGGAAAGAAAGAGTAGGGACAGAGAGAGAAGTCATGGGGGAGAAAAAGCACAAGGGAAAGGGAGCAAAAGGACAGAGGGGAAGAATTGAATATTATCTCCACTGGAAACAATGCATATCAGCACCTTTCATAGGTAAACAGTAGAAAAAGCATTCTACTCTCCCTGATGCACAGTGGGCATTCAAAAGAAAGTTAGTAAGCACAATGGTATTGCATTGTAAACATCATTATAATTAGCATTCCCTAGTATCAAAAAGAAATACACTAGGGGAGATTTGGCAGGTCATTTTTAGGTTGAGGTATGACTTCATTCTGGATTAGTTCTCTTCTGCTCTACTTAACAATCACTGGGTATAAGCAGGAAAAAAGGGGGGGCATACAAACCACTGGGGAGACAGTGAAGGTCACTATAAACTACTATTGGCCAAAGGTTGGAGACCATTACTTCACACTGAGTATTTATGGGAAAAAACTAAAAAAAAAAAAAAAAAAAAAAAACTTCAATAAAAAGACTATTTGAAATCACTCACACAATGTCAAGTTAAAAGAAGGACAAATAGGGGGGAAATCATATGACTTTGATGGTGTCCAGGCCTTTCTGCAACAGTCCTGCTTTGAGCCGGGGTGAGTTCATTTTGAGATTTCTGAACTCTGTATGCATGGATGCTATTGTGGTATGGGCATTTCATTTCATTTCCTGAAAGCTAAAAGGCAGCAGTACCTTTCCTCTGGCACCAAGACGTATTTGTTCATCTCTTCATTTAATCTAAGCTTGGCCAAACTATTATCTGACAATGGGTGAGTTCATTTGTTATACAGACAGGGAATTGTGGGGCTAGGAGTCTAGTGCTAACTTACCTCTCCAGCGTAATGAACACGTTCAAAGTGAACTTCTTATTTCCCCTTCTTATCAGTCTTGGGTTTCTGGAAGTAAACTGGCTTTCCAAAATGATTATCAAATAGTTTGGTCTTGAATGTCATGTCAGTAGCCTTAGGAAACATACATTCCTCTTCAAGGATGGAAAGGAGGCCCATGGGCTATGGGAGAGAGATGAGAGTGAGAGAGTTCTAGAAACACAAGGAAAGAGTATTTCCAGTAATATGTCAGTATAAATGCTTTACAAAGAACTTAATCAGTTGACAGAGGGAAGATAAGATCTTCACTACACAGAACTAGCAAATTATATGTCCAAAACTATTTATTAAATACTTATAATGTAATACTGATACCAGCAGGAGCAGCAGTAAGTCTCATGCTGTAATGACATCCAAGTCGATGACAGACAATAGGCAAATAAGCAAATAACTAGAAAAAAAATTAACTTAGTTCCATGTCAATGCTCTGAAGAAATCATATGAAATAGAAAATGGCTATGGGTGGAAGTGATTTTGCATGAGGTAATCAGGTAAGACCTCCTTGACCTGAAGTAGATGAACAATCTGAAAGCATCTGGTTACAAGTATTCCAGAGAGAAAATGAAAAATGCAAAGACCCTAAGAGAAAAGACCTTTGGCAAGGGTGAGAAGCAGTGTGTCCAGAGCAGAGATAGGCAGACAGCTTACATAGAGTAAGAAAAGCCATAAAGTTAAATGCAGCTAGACCTCAAATAACTTACAGGCAGGGCTAAAATGTTTGGATTCTGAAAGTAATGAGAAGACTTTGAGGACATTTAATGTGACATGATGTGATTTGATTTATGTTTGAAGAAAAAAATGATTTAAGACAGGAGTCAGCGAAGCAAATTGGAAAGTCATGAGCTAACAATGGTAGGTTTTGATTTGGCTTTTTTTGCATGTGCATATATATTTATATATTTTTATTCATTATTCTTATTTTATATGTAGGAGTGTATTGCCTGCATGTATGTAAGTGTACCTGTGTCATGCAATGCCCACAGAGGTCAGAAGAGGGTGTCGGATTCCCCTGGAACTGGAGTTACAGAAGGTTGTTAGCTGCCATGTGGGTGCTGGGAATCAAATCCAAGTCCTCTTTAAGACAAGCCAGTACTCTTAATTGCTGAGTCATCTCTCCAGCTCCATGTACATATATTTTAATGGGTTTTAAAAACATAAAAGAATATGGGACAAATTTCCTTAAGCAAATTTTTCTCTAAATGATTACAGAGTGTCTGTAACTTGCTTGCCAGCTGCTCATCCTTTGTGCCACATGCAAACAAAGTAATGAGTAATGTGAACTTCATTTATAAAACAAGACACAAGGTAGGGCAGGCTGGATTTGGTCCATAACATGATAATTTGCTGGGGTTTTGTCTACCACGTCATAGAGTCAGAGCTTGTGAGAAGTCATCAAAAATGTGAACTATGTTGAAAGTAGAGCTGGGTCACAACTTCCTGATGAATAGAATATGGGCTGGAAGAACAAATTTTCAGCCTGAGCAACTGTTGACAGATACTTCCACAGGGGAAAACACACTTAGGGGACAAAGAAAAATCAAGGATTCTTATATTTGTATATCTATTTTTTATAGTAAGATTATTTACCCATAATAATATGGGAAATTATTTTCCTTTCACAATCAACTCACTGTATTGCCTTTCACAATCAACTCACTGTATCAGACACTGTAAGATACAATAGATGGTTCAATCATGGGCCCTAGTTCTAGAGTATCTAGCTAAAAAGGCATGTGATACACAGCAAAACAGAAAACCTGAGGTCAAGTAAAATGTGATTCCAAGGTATCACAATTAAGATAGAACAGAATGGGACTGCTTGTTTCAAGAACATAGATCTCATGATTCTTTGCTGACCCTTTTTACTCTCAGTTTGGAGGAGACATTGAGCCTCTTGTTCAATGTTTCTAATGAGTTCTTGCATTCCCGAGAACAGTCTCCTAAAAGGCACAGTCACTTTTATGCCACATAAAAGCTCATCAGGTATTTGAAGATCACATTTTAATTTCCTTGTAGTTCTAATATATATTTACCATGGTTTTCTATCTTTAAAATTTTTTAAATGTTACTTTTTATAATATTTTATTATTTTTATTTTATACGAGTGTACGAGTGTATTGCCTGCATGTATGTGAGTGCACTTGGGTCATGCAATGCTACGGAGATCAGAAGGCTTCAGATTCCTCTGGAACTGGAGTTAAGAACAGTTCATAGCCGCCATGTGGGTGCTGGGAACTGAACCCAGGTCCTCTGCAAGAGCAGTTATTACTCTTAACCACTGAGCCATCTCTCCAGCCCCTAAATGTTATTTATTATTATTGCATGTGTATGTCTGATGTGGGGGGATGCACATGCCACAGTGCACCTATGGGGGCCAGAGGACAGCTCTATAGAGAGACTGCTCTGTTTCCACCTTTATGTGGGTTTTGGGGATCTAACTTAGGTTGTCAGGCTTGAGCAATAAGTGCTTTTACCCATTGAGTTTTCTTGTAGAGCCCAAATTTTCTACCTTTTTTTTAAAATTTTTCTTGTAGACCTAGAACCTTCATTTTATAGAAAGCTTATTGAACAGCATTCCAGCCATAGATCTTGGCACTTTCCTTCATCCCAAGCATCTAGGTGCAGAGTGCAAAGGTGTGAAGACAAGGTATTCCTTGTAAAACAGACACCTATCTTGCACATAACAATGCTAATTTTGTGCATTCTTGACAAAGTGACAAATGAGGAGGAGCAGGAAAGGAGAGAGAGAGGAGGAAAGGAAAGGGAAACGTCATAATTTAAATAGCTAATGAAACTAGTGTGGACTCTTGGAAGCACAGACTCTACCTTATACCATGTATTTTCCTAAATACTATATACCCAACATTTACTAAAAACTTAAATAAATCATTTAAAGATATAAGCATCTTCTAAGACAGAGCCTACTAACTAGAGAGCCTAGGCAAAGCCTCATGAGGCGAGGTAGTGCCCATCTCAATCAGTCACTTCCCCAACTGAGGAACCCCTCAAGTAGATGTAATAATTACAACACAAACAAAGGAAAAGTTTCTTCAAAGTCTTCTCTATTTCACAAGTGCTCTGAATATGTATAAATGTCTAATAAATATGGAGTCAACAAATAAATTTCCAAATAGGTTGAAAGACAATAATTAATTTCTGCCCCATGAGATGTTGCCCTGCTGTCTTGTTTAACTGCTGCTTTGATAAAATACCCTGATATAACCAACTTAGGGGAGAATGGGCTTATTTTAGCTCTCAGCTCGTTTACAGTCCAGGGAAACCACAGCAGGAAAAGGAAGGCGGTTGATGACATTGCATCATAGGAAACAGAGAGCACTGATGCATGCATGTTAGTGCTCAGCTTGCTTTCTGGATTTTGTACAGTCAGGATCCTCTGCTGAGGGAATGGCCCTGCCCACAGTTAAGAGGGATCTTTCTACATCAGTTAATTAATGACAATACCTCATAGACATTCTGAAAGGCTCATAAGCATGCCTCATAGGCATCAAGTTGACAATTAATTCTAACCATTATATTGCCATTTCAGAGCAAATGATTGGGACAGTTTCTCTGACTTAGAACACAAGTACTATGACCTCTCCCTCTTAACTATTTCAGTTCTGCCTTCCTTTTTTTTCACTTTCTTACCACTGACATCTATGTTGTCTATGTTCTGAGCCTCATGATTTCTCACCTGAACTGCTGAAAGATGATAATCTACCAGCTATTTTATTGCTGATTAAATACCAGAAGTTTTCATTTCTCCATTGCCAAGTTTAAAATCTGACTCCTTATGTTTAAAATAAGGAATAAATTCATTAAGATACCTTCACAAACTGATCCTCCTGTTTCCCTAGGTATCTCTTTCTGCATATTGAGTGCTCCAGTGAAGTTTCATGACATTTCAGAGGACGCATATCCTGTCTCCTTTCTGTGTTTGTGCTTACCTGTCCTCCTTTCATCCCACTATCTTCCCATTTTTATTTACCTAGATAATATTCATTCTTTAACATGCAGCCAAAATTTTACCCTCTCTCCACCAGGACTTTCTAGAGTCCTACAGGTACAGGTTACCTCTGCTCCTCTGATTACTTTGGACCTTTCTTTGCCTGTGCCTCTTATTACATTTATATTACATGAACATTTGTTAGATTTATAATTCATTTACTTTCCTGATTACTTCCTAAAGGCAAGAGCTATTTACAACAAATGCTTGAGAGTTCTACAGCTTTTATGTTGATAATTTATGCACATTACTATGGGATTACTTAAACCCAAAACTATTGAAAACCTTGACAACTGGGGAAAACCAGAAGGGGCTCAGGTAACCTAATCATAAATTTCCTTCCCATTATGCACCATGGATTAGTTCCTCCAGCAAACCACCACACTGGGACAGTGCCTGGATTTCATGCTCTGTTAGCATGTGGATTTAGACAAGTCTAAACCATTCTCCCACAGAAATTTCAGTCACTCTCTACAATTTATTACCTCAGAGCCCAACTCCCTTAGCCCCTACTTATTCATTCTATTCTGGGAGCAAGCTTATCTGGCCTCAAGTAGTGAGGGGTGTCAAACTCTCTGAAAATATGAGCAAGATGTGAGCACCATGACAAGTGAGTTGCTAATCTCATCTGCCTGGTGTTAGAAGTCATGTGCTCAGCCAGCCACACAACCTGGGGCAGGAATCCTGGCTCAGCAATAGACTTAGGAGGAAGTAATCAGACAAGTAATTGATTAGCAGATTTACCTATGAAAAAACAATCTCTGTTTCAAGGTTTTTTAAAAAATGTTTTTATTGGTTCTTTGAGAATTTCATAAAATGTATTTGGATCATATTCAGACCTTCCCCCATCTTCAAGCCCTCCCCTTCACATACTCTATTTAGTTTTCTTTTTTTCCTTTCTTTCTTTTTTTTAGGGCTATGAAGTCTAGTCTGTGTTGCCCAAATACTCTTGAGAATGCATCTATCCCTTAGTGTCTGGTATACCTGCCAGATATCACAGCTCTAAAGAAACTGACATCTATTCAATTGTAACAGAAGTCCCTCAAATGACAGGATGCTGTCTTCCAGGATTACCCTTGGCATGGTAGGTCTTGAGGTAACTAAAGTCTAAATCTTCAGGAAGTTTCTAGTAAGTAATTAGTTGACAGGTAAGCACTAACAAGTATTCCAGCATGAAAAGGTTTGAGTTCTGCAATCTGGACTACTTTGCTGGGAATAACAGTCAGACAAACTATAAGTGATGTCAACTAAAAAAGCACAATGATACATGTTAAAAGTAAACATTTCTATACATAATACAAGATGTAGCTAGATATTAAGGTAAATAATTTCATATTTAATTAAAGTTCTTACTGTATGCTAAATATGGATCTTTATATTTACAGATAGTGTACACCACTCACCAAAGAAGTTTCTTTTTGTAACAGATGGAGACTATCTGTTACCAAGCTCCACAACTGATCACACACAGAGAATATATGTCTGAGAGATGTCCAGCCCTAAGTAACACATCTACAGTGGAACCTCTACACCTAAGGATCATGAAACAGAAAAACAGGGAATAGAGAGAATACTAATACATCCCTCAGCTCTCACCAATGACATTTGCACACACATAAGAGACTGCAGAGTGCTAGCATGAGTCCCTAGATAGGACTCCTACATTAAACCTCACCCACCCATGGCTCAGTGACCACTGGGGAAGAGGGAGCAGAAAGATTGTGAGAGCAAGGGTTGATGCACGAACATAAGGAAACAGAGGCTTCAGGCCTCTGGGAACTTGCTCATATGAACTTGAAATAATGATGACAGCATGCACAAGACCCATGGTGACTCAATCAGACAAAAACCCAGCATAGAACTGGGGAAATGGGCAGCAGGCCCCAACGTTAGCCAAGGAATTATTGGTGACTTATTACTGCTGGGTGAGGGAGAATTGACTTCTGTAAGGGAGTGACTCTAGATAGACTGGCTAGATTCCAGTGGATGAACTTTCACCAAGGGACATCTGGGTACAAATGCATGACCAGATAGACTTTATATGACAAAACTCATGAAATCCAGTTGGGGAGGGGGGTTGTTGCTATGAGAGGGTGTGGATGGGGGAGGTGGTCTAAATATGATTAAGATCTATTGAATGAAATCAGCACATCCAAAGAACTCTCATTGAGAGGCAGCAATATCTTATTTAATGCTGAGCTGTTACCAGGGTTTAAGAGATTTTACAATTTTTTGGAATGCTTGATACAATAGACTATTGACATGGAAAATTCTCCCTATCTGACATATCACTGTATAGAAACAATCAAAAGTTATTCAGAAAAAAAAGTTAATTTAGGCCAAGTCAGGCAGATAAGACAAATAATGTGATCTACCAAATAATATAGTTTAGACTCAGCTTCTAGCAAAATGGAAAGCACTGAAGTGAATTTTCTCTTGAGACCAGTATAATTCTAAAATCCTATCCTAATCCCAAGGAAAAAGGATATAACATTTAAATTTATGCTGAAAGAATAACAAGTTCTCAAATACCTAACTTTGGATATTTGTGAAGAAATAACAGGGATAATTTCTTCACTGAAACGTTATACCTAGCCATAAATATGTAGCCATATGCTAATACTTTAATAAGTAAATTAAATTCTGAACTAGTGTATTTTAAGTAATGAAATAAGTGTGAGTTAACCCCGTAATAGATTTGTTCACAGCATATATATGGAAAGAGGTCACTGTAAGCTTGAAGAGAAAAAAACAACAGTTAAAATTGGTGTTATAAAACATTTTAATTCAATATGAGATAAACTTAAAATATGAAACTTTTATATATGAAAATCTCTTTTTCAAGACATGCTAATTGCTTGAACAGGAATAGGAAATAGAGGAAAGGGTAAGACACAAACTCGTATGTTAAGAGATACCTTGACACACTTTTTAAAATAACTCATTTTTCATGCATTCATTTAATGAGCCAATATTGCTCAGCACCCTGTGGACAGAATGGTTATGTACTGTGGGACAGTAGTAAATATAGCTTATAGAAGGGAGGACTGTGGGTTATCTGTCTCCAAAAACATGGTGAGACAGGACTGAAAAGATAAGAAAAAAAGAGAAAATTTCTTTTCGATATAAATACAAAGCGTAATATGCTATACAGTATTTTATGCATATTGAAATATTTTAGTTGCTTTGAATTTTTAAAACTTCCAGTGATTAATTCTATTTAAGAATTAAAATTGATTATTAAGATAAACTATACATTTTTCTCCATAGAATCCAAATCAATATAATGGATCTTTTCAAAATATTGAAATTTATCAAGGGAGTTTTATACTATTAATTTGACCTGAGTTCTTTGAAAGAATTCAAAGATTTTTCTTTCTATCACCTGGCCACATTTTATCAAATCAGCGGAGAATACAGCAGGAAATTATATCCATGTTGCAAGTGTGTAACTTGGAATAACTGAAGCTGGCACAAATAAGGCAATAAACTTCAGATCAACCAAAAACCAATTAATGTTGACCCATCATGATCCGAACAATCTCCACCTCCCTCCTTTCTGTTTGCAAATAGTGCCATGCTATAACTAAAGTAAGTTAGAGGTGTTAAAGGTGACAATTGCCAGAAGTTAAATCTTTCCCTTAGATGATCTGATTCTCTGTTTCGTTTCTAATCAGAAAACCATAAAACACGCAAAAACTATTTACCAGATCATGGTTGGTTTGCCACTGTTATTTTAATCAGTTTATAATGGATCCACTAGCATTTCTTTCCTCTTTTTTTTTTTAAACTCAACCTGTTCTCCCTATCAGTTTCACTTACTATAAAATAAAATCAATGTGATATTTGTTTCTTTTAGGAATAATAGAAGTTATTTTCATCCAAGATCTAAAAAATAAAATTAATTGAATACTGATTTATTGTTTTGAAAGAACTTCTAGAAGGTTAAAGGCTTTGGCTTATCCATAGCAGTCTCCAAAATTCACTGCAATTCCTTAAAACCAAGAAGAGGCACAGAGCTGCTGCCTTGTTACGGGGCTTGTTCTTGTGAACAAAACTGCAGAAAAGACAACACGAACTCCTCCACCAAAACCCAGTAATATTCCCCAGAGTATGGGGTAGAGTGCAAGGACATCACAGAATATAGAAACCATACACTGCAGCTAATTTACCAATAAGCCATGAAACACTACCATAAATTAACTAACTGGTAATTGTCCAATTAAATGAACAAACTACATCCTGAAAGTTATTGCCTTAAAGATTCATAGCAGTTGTTTATTTGCCTGGCGATTTGCCAAATTTCATTAAGCTTCTCTGGATCTACTTGTTCACCTTATATGAATGAGCCAGGCCTACAGAGCTCATATTTTCAGCTATATGTTCCTCCAATCAGGATCACAGCCATTTTAATCTCCATAAATCTTGTACTTTAACAGGGGAGACCACATGCAAGCTTCAAATTCAGTGACAGCCTGTGTTATAGATGTTGGAGTAGGGCAACTGAGGAGGAGAGTTTAGCTAGGATGTCATAGATGATGCACACAAAGACTATCAGGAGAAAACGTGCAGGGCCTTCCAGCCGTGTTTCCCATCTGATGACAAGCTGCTTTCTGAGTTGGATCAACATGGCAAGCAGAGATAAGTCTTAAGAGAAAATGGGAAAAAACACATTTTACCTTCTCAATGAGATCTATGCAGGCTGGCAAATCAAGACCACAGTCAATGGATACCCAGTCAAGGCCTTCTTTCTTATATTCTTCTTGCTCAAGTATAAACATATGTTGATTAAAAAACTGTTGTAATTGTTCATTGGTAAAACTGATGGAAAGTTGCTCAAGGCTATTATACTATTAATAAGTAGGAAGAAGAGAAAAAAAACAAGATAGAAGTTCACTTACAAGAATATATACTAAACAGAAAATAATGATCAACACTATATGATGAAAAGTAGACCCAACCAATTAAATTCTTGTCTCATTCAGATATATCTACAAACTAATGAATTGTAGTAAAATAATATACAAATTATGATTGAGAAAAATCACAAAAGGCCTCTAATTTGATTTAAAGATGGATTCTGGGGGCTGGAGATATAGCACAGCAGTTAAGAACACTGACTGCTCTTGTAGAAGACCCAGATTCAAATCCCAACACCCACATCGCAACTAACAACTGTCCTTAACTCGAGTTCCAGGGGATCCAGCAGTCTCTTCTGTCCTCTGCAGGCATTGCACGACACAGGTGCACTTACCTACATGCAGGCAATATACACATACACATAAAATAAAAATAATAAAATATTTTAAAGATGGATTCTTTAAATTTTTAATTCTTAACACTAATTATAGTAGTAATAAATATATTAATCGTAGCACTGTTCCAATCAAGATAGCCTATAGGGATTGAGCAAAATGATTCTTATATTGCTTTGATCATATTTTCCATGATGACCTTTCACAAGTTGGATTTTCTTATCTCCTTGGGAGTCTTCATTGACTTTACTCTTATCACGTGTACTTACATCAAGGATTTCAAAACCTGTGATGTCAAGAATGCCAGTGAAGAAGCGCCTTGACAGCCCAGCATCCAGGATCCAGTTCATGCGTGCCACCAGCCATGTAAACATCCTTTCATATATTGACTTGGACAGGGCACCAAAAGCATAGGTTACCTGGAAATTATATTGAAGATGTTCCTTCATAAGTAATAAAAGCAAATATTTAAAAGGGGGGTTGGAGAAATGTCTCAGTGGTTAAAGGTGCTTGTTATTCTGCCGGTGGACTCAAGCTTGAGTCTCAGTGTCCACGCTGTGCAGCTCACAACTGCCTGTAACTCCAGCTCCAAGGGATTTAGCTCCCACTTCTGGCCTCTATGGGCACCTGCATGTACATGCATATATATACACATGCACATGTGTGCATACTCACAAATACACATATATAGTAAAGAGTCGTAAATATAAATCTTTAAAATGTTCCTTTATCTAACAGTGTTCATTTTAATCTTGGGAATTCTCTATCTACAAACATCTTTTAGTCAAACCAGTATGTATTTATTGATCTTCTTTGGTTTTAACATTCTGCTGAATATAGTGAGAAAAAAAAAGAAGCAAGAAAGAGAGGGGGTGAAAGAAGAAGAAAAGGATGAGAGTCAGCATGATGCCTCCTTACCAAAAGTGTAGGTGATAGAAATCATGTTCCTATTAATAATGGACTAAATATCACAGGGTTGGGTGTGATGTTATGCTCCAAAGCCTTCCACTGAACATTGTGGTACTAAGATCTGCTAACAGCATCAGCACCAGCTGAGATTTTTGAAAGATGCCAGCATTCAGGCCCAATCCATGATGTACTAAATCTTTAAGATGATTCTATCACCATCTGCCCAGCTCAGCTGCACCAAGAATCTAGAAAGGTCACTTTGTAGAGAATCTCCCAGCCTTAGTATCTGATGATGTAGCTCATTCCCTACTTTTTGTGTAAATTCTTAACCTACCTTTAGCAAGAAACCTGTTAATCCAGTTTAATAAGAATCTCTTCTTGATGTTGTCACTTAGAAATATTCCATCACTGAACCCCTCCCTTCCAATTCATCATGTTCTATTTGTAGTTGAGTCCAATGTCTCTCCCCTCTTGAAATACTTTTATTGAAACAGTTCTGAACAAAATCTTCCTTATCATTTTAGTAAGTGTCAGAATATTTTTCCTTTTAACACAATGCACAATAAAGTTTTAAAATTGTTGGTATAGAATATCAGAAATCTATAATCTCTAGAGTATGTTCTGCTAATGCTGCTGATAAATTGAACTGTTGGCAAGTGGTCTACTCTCTCTAGGATGAAGAAGTTTCATCAAAATAATATTCATGAAAGCTCTTTCTAGTCCTATCTTCTAACTCTTTACTATCTTAGTTCTCAACGGGTTTCTTACTTTCTGAATCAAGAATGATTTGGGGGAGCATCTTTCTGACACAGATTATCCTGTCAGAGTGAGACTCTATGTCCCTTCTCTGGGGAGAGCTCCCAACTCTACACCTGGGTAAGGTTATACAAATGAAATCCTGCTCTGATTATGCAAAAGAACTGATATCCTACAGATTCCAGGTAGGAGTCAATTTCCATTGAATTCTCTCCAAACCTAGAAACAGAATGCATGCCAACATGTAGCATAGGAAAAAAAGGCCTATCACATTCATCCTTCTACACAGAAGAAGGCACATAGCAAAGCCACTTGGTGTCTGGTGGTGATACAATTATGAGTCATTTATCCTGACCGATCAATTATCCTGAGTCATTTCCACAATAATCCATAATAATCAGTCTCAAAAATGTGTAGTATAAATACAACATTAGGAAGATTTCACACTGAGGGGAATCACTCTGCCTGCATCAGCCAGCTGAAATTTTTAAAGGGTGTTTTACTTGGTCACCCTCTTTTAATTCCTTAAGTAGCCAAGAAGTAGGGGTGGAGAGAAGCTTTTGTTCAGGTGAGGGGTGTGGTGGAGAAACACAGGAAGCCTACAAGTGAAAGCAAGAGGCAGAGGCTGTACAATGTGCGATAAATAAAGTAATAATACCACAGAGCATACTGTTCATGAGGTAACTATTCTGTTCCTTTCCTCACTTTCTGTCAAAGGAGGGGGAAGGAAGGGGCTAACCTGTACTTCTACTCTTCAGATCTAAACATACTTATTTCTTAGATCTTTTCAAAATAATCTCATACTGGGGCTGGAGAGATGGTTCAGTGGTTAAGAGCACTGGTTGCTCTTAAAAAAGACCAGCGCTTGATTCCCAGCATCCACATGGTGGCTAACAACCATCTTAACTCCAGTTCCAGGGGAACTGATGCCCTCTTCTGACCTCTTCAGGCATTGCATAACACAGATGCACTAACATACATGCAAGCAATACACTAATCATACACATAAAATAAAAATAATAAATAATTTTTAAATAACCTAACAGAAAACTTTGATTACTAAAGGGCAATAATGCATGACAGAAAACAGCAACAGAACAACAGTCATAGAGAAAGAGAGAAAAAGAGAGAGAGAGAGAGAGAAGAAATGAAGTCAAGCAGGATGAATTATCATTTGATACTTACCTTTTGTGAAATAATAAACATATGCATATCAGAGTATCTGTGAGCGACCCAGTGATACAGGATTCAAACTCACAGTATAACATTTGAGGTTGGGATCTGATAAATGTTCCCCTTCTCTCATCCCTTTTAAAATCATTATTTCCTCATTCTTGCCCTAGTACTTACTAGCTATGTCACCATAAATAGTTTCTAATGGTCACTGTAGTTAACTATAAAATAAAAATATTAATAAAATCTACACTGAAGGCTTGTTATTATATTGGATGAGATAAATCTATACAAAGCATCCCTAGTAAGCACTCAGTAGAAAACAACTGTATGATTTGATCACCATTGTTATTGTCTTAAAATTTTATTCTTATTTCTAATATATATAACTATCATGGAGTCAGAAAACAGACATGAGAAACCTTAGTTCATGATAATCAAGGACAATGATCCTCAACTCAGAACACATGCACTTGGAAATGCAGAGAACATTTCAGGTTGTCATAATGACTGAGAATGTTACTGCTATTTAGTGCCAGGAGGTAGAAATGCCAATCATCTACAAAAAGGATATCATCTATGAAGAATTGTACAATTGTAAATGCTATATATTTCTCCACTGAAAAACAGAATCATTCAATCTCCTCACCGCAGGGTCAGAGACATAAAGATACTTAACCAAGATACCAGAGTGAATCAGCATTAGAGTTAGAGGCAAGCTTTATATAGTGTTAACATTGCAGGAATTTCGCTCATCTTTTGCAGTGATCATCAACAGAGCATATGCATCTCTATTCCTAGCAGTGAAAACTGATTGCACAAAGTCAGTAAAATTTGTAAGAAAATTCTTATAAGTGTTCTTTTTACTATCCCTAAGAGGAAGGAATTTTTATGTTGAATAATAATATACTTTCTTTCACTAGTTCTGTTACAGTAAAGGCTGGGGCGGTAACTCAGTCCCCTAGAACATACTATTTTAAAGAAGTGAAGGTTTAATTATAGTCTTCACAGGGGCTTATTAGTTTTATATAGAGAAAGACCCTATTCTATAATAATAGCATATCACACATCCATGTTATGGTAAATGTTTAAGAAACCATGGCACTGCCAAACATTTGTAACCCTAATGCCAGGAAGTAGCTCAATTATTTCTCCTGATGATATGATTCAAATTCCACCAAGTTAGACACTCATGAAACACCTATTTGTTGCAGGGCACTGTGCTAGATGCTGGTATACTAAGATGATTCAGACAGTGCTTGGCTTCAAAGTATGTAGGTCACCAAGGCACATGAAAGTAAAAACAGATTATGTCAATATACTGCAATTAATATTGTAGTAGATGGATTATTTTTGATTTACAGAGTAAGATAAACTGCAGAATTGATGCTGACCTTTTAAATGTTTTATATAACATACAAATATTATATACTTCAATACAACATGGCAAACAGAGTCAAAATGAGAGCACATTTGCATATCTTCATTTTGTATGTACAGTAATACAATCTGTGACCTAAATATTAGACATGCATGCTTTGAATGTTATCTATATTCGCTTAGTTTCAGTTTCCTCAAGTGAATTCCTGGCCTACTGACCCCTGAGTACTGTAAGAATAGAAGGAAATAATACCTGAATATCCTTTATATATATA